GGGGGGGGAGGCGCGACGGAGCGCGGAGCGGACACAGGATAGATCGCGTCCTGGGCCCCCGCCCCCTGCGTCCCCACCGCGACCAGGGGGTGGGAGCGGGCGCAGCAGCGCAGCTCTCTAGGCCGAGATGCTCAGGAGCCGCACAATGAAGGGAAATCCTGATAGAGGCCAAACACGGTACTTCGCTCCCCCTCGAACAAGAACCCCTGATGAAAACGGGACAGTTGTTCAATAGAAGTGAGCTCTCGGAGAGACATTTACATACACCGTGTCCCGGGGCTGCCACAGACAGTATGCGGGTTTTGCCTACTCGCTCCACCCGCAAGGCGCCGTGGACCCTACAGTACGCAAACCCACAACAGTATGTACCTTGACGGTGTCGTGCTACAGTGCGGCATGACCACAATGTGTTCAAACATTACACCTAGAACTTGAATTTTTTTGTGCTTTGATGCCGCTCTACATTATTGAAATAACAGTTTCTTTCACTAACAATTCAAAATGACTGAGCGATTTCAAATGTGTACAATGTGCAGTGTACCTTCCCAAAATGGCACAATGGTGGGACACAAAACAAAAGTTTTGGTGAAGCAGTCAATACACAGATAAACCAAGTGCGCAACTCGATGCAACTGCAAGTTAAGTAGTTAAGTACTTGCAAGTGTTCAACTCGGTAATTGTGCTCTTCTTAGTGAGCAACTCTCCTGTTGATCACTTTCTTAGATTAGGTGCTTACTGTGAGGGAAGTGTTGAACATAGGAGTCGCACAGAAGAGCAAAACTGCCGAGTTGAACACTTGCAAATATTGAGCAGCTGCACACTTAGTTTACAAGTGTACTTAGTATTTCTTCCTTCCTGTAGTACTGAATGATCAGTATGGTTTGTTGCTTTAGGTCAACTGCTTCTTCAGAAGCAAATCACTGGTAAAAAAAATGGGATGTGAAACAAAACTAAACTTCTCACTGAAGCTTATTATTTAAAATCTTTTTACAAGGTGTTTTCTCTCTCCTCTCACATGGTAATGGACAGTATTTGTACAATAATCTGGCCAACTAAGCTAAATTTTGTAGGTGAATTTGAAGACAGTTGGCAAACTACAAAAGAAAATCTGCTTAGGCGGATGCAGACAGAGATTTCAGGTCTGAAATGCACTTCTTCAAAGTCTCAGCTTCCTGAGTGGGGGTGATGGACTTCATAACGTTTTCAGTGATCCATGAGGACATGTTTTTCTGGGAAATACGACGCTCAACATTTGTCAGCTCAAGCTGATAGTCCAGCCTTTTCTTAGCCTGAAAAAAAAATAAGTTTGATATTGGATTGCACAATAAAATTGAAATTTATTGACCACTTTAATTGAAAAAGTTTAAAGAAGAGTTACCTCAGTGTAGGCAGTGTTAGACCATTCTCGGTAGGTTGCCTCCAGTGCTGCAGCAGCTGTTTCACGCCTAGCAGCAGCCAAATCCTTGAAGACATCCAAATTGCTCAAATAGGCGTGAATTTCCTTGATGTTCTCCCTAATTTGTTTCTTCTCAGAATCTTCAAACTCTCTGGTATCAGCAAGCCATTGCTAAAAGAAAAGGTAAAACAATATTGTACAATAACTCAACAACAAACCTGCAATGAGACATTGCACAATTGAAAGAACTAACTTACATCAATTTCCTTATCTGTCAACTTAGCAATTGAGGGACCCAGCTTGTGGTGAAGAATCATAAGGATCATGACAAAGGAGATACCATTGTAGAAGTTGTGCTCCAGGACATAGATTTCCTTGCTCAGCAAATAGGTAAGGAAAGAAGCTCCAAACACATATGGACCTAATCATAAAAATTCAGTTAGATATAAAATAAATTGAAACAATGAGAATTTACTGAAACTGAATTTGGCACTAGAGACTTACCAGACACACCAGTCTTCTTGTAGAAGATATCAAACCATTCCTCGGGGAGGAAACCCAAACGCACTGGATCAGGGTGTTGTTTAACCACAGGCCGTGGGAAGTTGACAAGATCACGCTCAGGACCCTCGGTCTTCAGAGGCACGATGCGGGGAACTTTGCTAATAGGATCTTCAAGACCCGCATAAGGGTCAACGTCTGAAGTGACAGTCTTCGCAGGTTCAGAAGATGCCTGACGAATGCCCAAGACAGCTGGGCGAGAAATCAATGGCTGAGCTGTAAAGGAAGAAAAACCACTAAGTAATATCACAAAATGCTTTAAGATTGTTTGCAAAACATAATAAAGTAGAAAGAAACATTTGAGTTGACAAGAGGTTTGACAATTATTAATTAGGATGCAATATTGTGATGAGCACTTTGTAATTACAGTTTATATCTAGAAAAAGGACGGTGCAAAATTGTACACATTTGACGTGACATTTTCCGCACAATTGATTTACTACAAGATGTGCTGAGAACAGACCAAGACACAACCTTCAAATGACCCAATATGATACTTTCATAATTTGACCCAAAATCAAAATCAGAAGATACTGATCGAAAGTCCACAAATAAAAAGCATAAATTAAAAACATAGCAAATTGTTGATAGAGTGTTAAGATGGAGTTAACCATTTAAAACGCAACACAAATTTACGATGCACAGGTTAGACCGTCCACGACACTTCGGACAAAAAGTTCTGATTTAAGGCAAAGTATGGAAGATAGGCGAATTAGGAAGTGGGAAAACAACAATGTGGAAATTTACCAGCCCTGGTGGCGAGTCGTGAGAGCATATTGAGGCTGCTGATGGGGCACCTCTCCGAAAATTTGTTGGACTAGTTCGATTTCCAGCCCCGCACTTGCAGACTGCCCCTGATCAGCTGAAAGAGGAAGAAAAGAAGTGGTGGAGAAGAATCAAGGGGTGCAACCCCTAACAACGGCCGACGAGGAGATACCTGGGAAAAAACACTGCAGAAATTGTATGAAAAGGATAAATTTTAATTTTATGCTTTTAAGAAAAAAGATCAAAACACTGTAAGTGTGAGCGAAAACCAAGAGTTTTCTGCCAGCGAAGCAGCTTTTGCTTTCTCAGTTTGGCTAAGGCTTAAAAAAGTTGGAAGTACCAACATTACAAATTAAACATACTTTTTTAACACAAAAAAATTGTAGAACTGTAAATATCATTTTACTACTTTAAATTTGCATTTGTAGTAACAGATAGATTTTAACGAATCATTGAATGTAGAACGAGTCCCTCAAGTAGGCAGACAACTCGAAAGTGTCTTGGCTAGCCTGGGGGAACACCACTCTAGCTCTAGCAGACAACTCTGCAAATGCAGAGGTTATTGTTGAGTTTGGTCTGGTCCGTTACTAAAAGAGAAGAATATTTTGACACTGCTTTGTGACTCAATCAAACAAGTTTTATTCCCGAATCCCCTTTGATGAATGCCATCATGACCAAATAAACTTGGTCGTAATTCAAGTTGTGTTCGGCGTGAATCTATGAGCGACAACCTTACAGTTTGGTTTAGTTTGCTTTGATTCAAGAAGATATACGTGCTTTTGAGACTTTAAAATGTTACGACAAGGGTCAAGCAGAGTTTTGAACATACTTGTGCGATCAAAAAGCTCCTCTGCCTCTGCTCAGGGAAAATGGAACCTAGTTTCGTCTGTATGTCTTCAGAGGAAACCTGTGCTCAGCAAAGAAATGACAGATTTGGAGAAAGACGTGCAGAAATTGCTTTTCCAAATAGAAACAGAAAAGTCCTGGAAAAATGACTGGGAGCTGGAAGCTGAGAAGGACCTAAAAGAAATGGATCAAATCAAAGCTGGTGATCCAACAAAAGTGGGAAGAAAGTTTCGACGAGATTGGGAAGATGAATGGAAAGCGGAGCTTGCGGCATTTAAATTGGAACCTCGTCTCACTGAAGCAGACAAGAAGAACGATGTTAAGTCATGGTACAGGTTATTGGATACCACTTTGTTCTTAGTTGTTCAACAAAAAGATAGCGGCAACCGTTGGATATTACCACATGGTGTGCGCACTGAAGGTGAAACAATGCGACAGACAGCTGAGAGAGTGCTACATAACAGTTGTGGAGCAGATTTAAATGTTAAGTTTTACAGTAATGCTCCGTGTGGTTACTTTAAATTTAAGTACCCCAAAGCTGTCCGTGAAGAGAGAGGAATAGAAGGTGACAAAGTATTTTTTTATAAAGCTTACCTCACAGGTGGTCAGTTAAAATCAAGTTCAATATTGAAAGACTTTAAGTGGATTCCCCGAAAGGAACTGAAAACTACGTTACCACCAGAATATTGTAAATCTGTTGAAATGTTCTTGATTGATCAAGATTAACCATAAAATTTATTGTTTGCAATTGTTGTAATAAAAAAAAACTATTCAAAGTATGACTCTAAGTACCTTTTTATTTACAGTGGGGGGAGCGGAAGAGAAAGCTGTGCACTTTAAACACTTATTTTCCTATTTTGAATTTATGACCAGCTAATTGGGAATGAGAAAGCTACTGGGGAATAACAAAGGATTTAGCTATCTAGTAAGCTAATGATCATCTCTTGTTGGACCAGGGCATTCATTCTGCATATCTTTCTCATCATCAAATTTAACACAGCACCATGAACAATAATTGTAAGTACATCGAAGATACTTGGTTAACATTTCTAACTTTTCTGATGCCTGAAAAAAAAAGAGGGAAATTTTAATATTGAAATTTAATAATAATTAATCATTTGGAGGATGTTAGGAAATTTTTCAAATACCTCAAACTCATCATCCTCCTCCTCAGAATCACTATTGTCATGGCTAGATGTTGGTATGGATTCTTCCTGATTAGTGGGTTGAGGATTACTTGAAGCCTCTTCATTTTGATCTCCGTTAGAATCATCTTCAGTTTTTTTGTCTGAACTTTTGAACCTTGGCCAAAACCAAGACTCAGCAGGTTCAGTAAAGCCCTACAGAAGTGAAATGAAACAAATAAATGACCAGTGTAAGACATATAGTAAAATGACTTTAAAAAAAATAATTACCGCCTCTGTATCAAGTTGATGGCATGCTTTTTGACTTTTGAAGAGATCTATGTCAGTAAGTCGTTGGTCTGACTTTTGTTTCATTCTCGCCCTGAACTGGTCAACAGTGACTTCTTCACATTTGGCTGATCCTTGCCTCTTGGCTCTGAAGAGGCGCTTTGATTCTTTCAGCTCCTCAATAGCAGCTGCCCTTCCTAGTCCCTTTCTGTCTGTTTTCAAGTTCAAGGGAATTGGATCCACACTACCTGTTCCTGGAATTTAATTTCAAAACCATATTAATTTACAAGAAAATTTCAGGAATACAAGTACCGCGCTTAGTAAACCTTTTCAGAAGAACCTCTTAACTATTGACATTATGCGAACCTGATTTTCCAATCCCCGAACCAGGTTTGTAACCCATTTTTTGAAGGAGAGCAAAACCTTTGTTGTCAGCTCCTATTGCCTCCTGTAGTCCCTCCTCTCTGCGCTGAGCTTCTATAACTCTAACTGGACGCTGTTGTTCTCTGGTCACAGCATCTTGGGCTTGTTTTCTCTTGTAGATGTCATGTGAACGTTGCTGGTCACGATTGTGAAGAAGACCTGGTCTAATATCTTTAGCTGGGCTGTCAATAAAAATGGTAATTGCAGAATGTCAAGTAAAGTAAATTACACTTAGGTAGAGAGTTTTCATTGGCACTAATGCACACAAATCTAACCCATTATATACCTGTCAACGATGAAAGCAGCAGACATGTAGTCATCTTCATCTGAAGACATTATTGCAGCAGATAGAGAAAAGAGTCGTGATGACTAAAGACAGCTGTTAAGACGCTGACAGACAACAAATACACAAAAAAGCAGACGGGATTAGGGCCAAAATCGGAAACGAAACCGCCTCAAATCAAACATCAACAAAATTTGGGCGAGTGTCATAGAGGGCTGTGCGACGCTGAGTATCCTGATCGGAAAGGCGGTGGCTGAATGGAGGCATGTTTGAATCTGTTTACTACAAAGTGTAAAGCCAAAAGGCAAATGTATATTGCGTTTAAAGGAATACTTTCTTACTTAAGCGATCATTTTCTAAAGTTTTTGAGCTATTGATTTCTACATTCAATGGTCGAACAGTTTCAATCTGATGCCATTTTAGACTGGCATTGGAATACTCAGTTGAAGGTTATAAGAACCAAAATCACCATTTGTCTTCAAACCAAGCCCTGTCAGTACCGATCACCCGATCCGATGCTTTAAAGTCAATGTCATGGCAAAGAATCAGAAATACATTGTTGGACAAGAAAAGCATTTCATGGTAAAGTCTCTTAATTTTTGTCTTCCTTCCGTGTTTACATTATTTAAGCACACTCAGCGTAAAACTATTATAATGTTTTAACTGTTTACTCAGCTTTGTCACTACAACCAGATTTTATTGTAAAGAAATTCTTGTTTCAGCTTTCAGATAACTGGGCAGAGCCGTACACTTTAGATGAACTAGCTGTTGATCATAAAAAAGTGTCTGAGATTTCCTCTTGGCTGTCAAATCATGTATGTGATTGCATTAAGCTTGTGTTTAATTTTCTTTAAGGTGGATCTTAGAAAATTCAACTAACTCATTTATTCATTACTGTACCTTGTTATATTTACATGTTGAAAAAAAATACTAAATAACAGAGACATAAATGTGGAATCTTATTACTGACTGGTTCAACTGGATGTGGGAAAACCGCACTGGTTAAATGTGTTTCCAGAAGCTTAAATTTTGAAATACGAGAATGGATAACACCCTTGGATAGAGATTTCCAAACAGGTATGTACATCTCTTCCGTTTACTACAATTTTATTTCCCCTTAATTATTTCATGTGAATTTTATTTTGCAGGGGTTGAAACAGGAGTATTTCAAAATCAGACTGGAAAGTTTGAAGATTTCTTGTACTCATCAAGTCGGTACTCAGATTTATTTGTTAAATCATCTAATGCAGCTTCCTTACTTCTTGTAGAAGACTACCCCAACATATTTCTGATGAAACCAGAAATTTTCCATGAAATTTTGGGGTAATGAACCAATAAAAATTATCTGCTTGGATTGACATTCCAAATGATTTGTACATACAACTGTTTCTTGCAGGCAATATTGTAGAACAGCACGTGCTCCCATAATTTTTATATGCTCAGACAGTTCTGACAAATCCTTAAATATAGAGTTTGAGCTATTTCCCCAGAATATTCAGAGTCAGTATGGGATAGCACATGTCTCGTAAGTGTATGTGGTAGAAATTCCTTCTTTTTTTTTTGTAACAGGGTTATGATATTTACTTCCTTTTTCATTCATATTTAGATTAAATCCAGTGACAAGAACAAAAATGATGCTAGCTCTGAAACGAATGGGTGCTTATTTGCAATCTTTATCTCCGGGCTACAAGCTGCCGACACAAGATGTACTCAATGAAATTTGCAATAGTGCCAATGGAGATGTCCGATATGCAATGCTAAGTCTTCAAATGAAACCACAGGAAGGTTTGTTCATCCACACAGTTGGTATACGTCAATACAAATTTAATCTGTGGGAAACCTATTTTATTATTATTTTTATTATTACATATTTAGATGTGGTTGCAATGTTTGACTTTGCTGGAAAGAGGGGACCTAGCAAAAAGAAGCCGAATTCACAGAAACAGACCCAGGAGGAGGAAGCTGTTTCCACTTGTGGAAAAGATGACAGAGTTGGCATACTGCATGCTGTGGGCAGAGTCTTGTACCCAAAGTGTAAGATATTTTGATTAATATACACTGTTGTACTATGTCAAATGCTTAATTTATTAGCTAAACTATAGTGAAATGATTTCTTGTTTTTAGGGCGGGGTGAGGGAGAAAAAATTAGCAGTAACAATGTAAAGCGGAAAAGGAAGGAAGGTGAAAAGCATTTAGATGCAACTACTCCTGGTGTTGAGTGGGTTCATAATCCAAATACCCTCGCAGACTCTTACTTGTCTTCAGCTAGCAGCTTTCTGCTACTAGTACAAGAAAACTATTTAAAAACTTTTTCATCCATTGAGTCTGTTGCTGCTGCGGCATTCTGTCTCAGTGAAGGTGATGTAGCAGTGAACAGTGAGGTATGTTTACACATTTCCTATCTTAATTTCTTTTCAATACAAAGCTCTATATTCTCCCATTTTCTTCCTTCTGATGTTGCAGGGTGTTGAAACAACTCATGAAATAAGTTTTAATGCTGTATTAAGAGGGGTAATGGTACAAAACAAAGTCCCTCATCGAGCCTGGAGTCCAGTGAGATCCTCACGATGCTACGAGATAATCAACACTCAAAAAAAGCTGTGGGTACTTAGTTTGTAAACAGACACAACTACTATGAAATGTAACTCATAATGTACAAATTGGATTTTGAGTGTTAATATTTTTATTGCAGGTCAACTATACTAGAAACTCTTTTTCCACTGTATCCTGTCAGCCCTATAGTTTTAATGACTGAAGTTGTTCCATACATGTTCCATACATCTGCTAGTAGTCTATCAAATGGTGAGATAAATCAAGTGATTCTTGCCTCAAATAAATTTTCAATTATAGAAACGGACAATAATAATTTACTTTTTTCCAGAGCAACATAAATTTGTCAAGGCAGTTGCATCTATGGAATCTTTGGCAAGTTTTTGGTAAGCACTGTAGTTTTTGAAAAAGGGGGATGGCTGATGTCCACCTTTTCTTTTTTATTTGTCAAGAAACTAACAATTTTTTTTACCAGTGATACTTTTAGGACACTGAAGGAGCCTTTCAATGCCCAAAAGTCCGATAAAGCAACTTTTGTCATGTGAGATTTTGAAATGTTTCTTAAAAATGATCATACCCACTTTAACAAAATATGTATTTGAATGTTTTCTTCTTTTGACAGAGATCCTAAAAAACAAAAGATAACAGAACAGGATGATGAACTCCATATATCGGAAGATGAAAGTGATGAGGAGTAAGTGGGAGATTTTATCTGTATGTGATTAATATATGGTTCTTATTGATATTCATTCTATTATCTCATTTCCGTCAGAGTTGATGAAGGTGCTGCTAACTTAACAATGCTTGAGGCTGCTATGGCAGAGGATATGGAGTAAGTCGTAGTGTAACCATAACCATACACCTCTATTAGATATGAAAATAATGATTGATAATTACTTAATTATTATATTAATTACTTAATATTTTGTTTTTTAACCTCAAAACAGCTTTGATGAAGGTGCCCAAAATCTCTCTATGTTGGAAGCTGCCATTGATAATCAACCAGAAGAAATAGATTATAATGCTCTTTTAAATGATTCTGATGATGATGACATTTTACTCTCTCAAATATAGGAGAGAAATTGTTAACCATCACCCGACATGATTTTCTTGAAGCCATCTTGTGATATTTCCATGACAATTTAAGCAACGTGCATGTATTATTTTCATCTGCGGGTGATCTCATAAATAAATCAAAGTTATTACTTAAGTGTAAAAAGGATCTCTCCTTCCTGGGTCACAAATTAAAAACAGCATACAGTAATTAAGTGATTGAAAGAATCATACAGGTTTATTTAACAGAGCCGTAAATACGTTCAGGAACAATAAAAACATAATAATACGCAATTAAAAATGAAAATAATGCTGACAATGGAGGTCCAGAAAGACCAGCAATGAAATAATGCATGATTGGAATTGATATGACATTCCACACAACAAATTTGTATCATAAATAAGGATGACAGATGACAGTCCAAATGAAAAATAATTTAAAATACTTTTAAGTTGAAAGAAGTAACTTGGTGGTTATAGATGCACTAGATCTGGATTACATATCTCACTGGGTGAATTACACATACACTTGAGTTCATTGACCACTTCTAAACAGGAGTGCAATAATGACAAGGCTTGACTTTCACTATGTTCATCAACACCCTATGTCCCAACAGCTGAGCTTGCAGAGTCATTGGTCCAATCCCCTTCCCCCTCTGTCAAATCTTGGTTACCTTTTTCACCAGATAGCACACCTAAACCAATTTCTTTAGATACATCACATTTACGTTCTAGTTCTTCAGTCTTCCCTGTTACAGGCTTTTCCATTAGGGTTCCTTCATTAACAAGAGTTCCCTGAATAACTGTTTTAGTTTGATTACTGTCTAGAGTTTCAAATCTGGTTGCCTCTCCATCAGAGGTATCACAAGAAGCACCTTGTGTGTCTGGTGCAAAGCTTCCAGTGGGAGATGCACTCTGAAAGTCACTAGTCAAGCCACTAGGAAATGGGGAAGTACTTCGGGGATCAGGGGTCATACTACCTGGGGACAAACTGCGGGGGTCTGGAGTAAGACCTGCTGGCATAGGGGATGCACCAGCATAATCTGGAGTTAGACAACTTTGGGCTGGTGAAGCACTCTGAGGATCAGGAGTGTAACCTCCTGACATAGGGGAGGCACAGTAAGGTCCTGATGTTGTTCCACTGGGCACAGGAGATGCTATTGGGTGATCAGGAGTAAAACTGCTTGGGCCAGGAGAAGCATACTGATATTTAGGCGTGTGTCCGCTGGTCATTGGAGATGCAACTTGATTATCTGGAGTGAAGCTTGCAGCTCCTGGTGATGTACAGGGTAGATTTTGTCCACAAAGTGGATCTGGAGTGCCACTCATAGGAGAAGCACCATCACAGCTTGTTTGGGCATATACAGTGGGGCGGAGCACTGTCGAGCTGTCAATACTTAATGCTGAATGAGCAGGTGAAGGGTCCCCTTTCACAAACATGGTTATTGGACGTCGAAAACCCTTGGCAGAATGTTGGGGGATATCTAAAATTCTGCAGTGTGAAAATCCTACTTCTGGCGATAGGAGGTACTCTCTGAATTGGTTTGGAAAAAATTCAATACTGTTATAGTTTTTCCAAATGGCTTCCTGGAAAGAACAAGACAGCTTGAGTTAATACGCATAGAACACAACAAACAAATTGATAGATGGACCGAAACAATTGAAATACTTGCAGTCAGTTTCTTTTTGCGATTGTAAGATGGCCAGCCTTGAGGTTCTAATATAAGACAACCCCCAGGGCGTAACTGAAGATACATTCTTCGGAACGCTCTTTTTAGTCCAGCATCACCCCAGTTTAAGTGAAACCATTTTGTGATGCTCAGACAAAGAATTACATCAAATTGGGGTTGTTCTAATGCAAGGAGTGAATCAGAATCCAACACATAATTACCCTGAAAACACAAGCAAATTATTAGCAACATCAAAATTGAAAACTCAAATTTTTAAATCAATTAAAATATTACCTGGACAAAAGATATGTTTTTAGGGAAAGGAAGAGGCGCAGAAGCTGGCCTTGGTGTTCTTATTCCATCAGTTATTCCAGGAATATCGATTGGTCCATACACAATAGGCATGGATATTGGAAAAAATCGGTCATGTGGACTTCTATCTTTGCCAGCAGTCATTTGACTTTGAATTCCAAGAGACGATGTGTAAGAAGGAGTGCAGTGGCTTGGCGTACTGCTTGGTGTGCCTGCTGCAGTTGGAGCAGGTGACTGTTCATAGTTGACATAATGACGGACGTTTTTTCGTGCAATTTCAATGAGTTTACGATCAATGTCAATGCCAACAACACTCCTTGCTCGGAAATCACGACCAATCTAGAAAATAAAGGAACTATGAAATGTAGGCACATGTAACATAAATAAAATACTGGGATTAGCCAAGCAATAACATACCGATAAAGTAATGTGACCAACATTACAACCTATGTCCAAAACATCTCGATCTCTAAACAATTCAGGGTATTCAGCAAAGCACCTAAGACGTAAGTCTGGTTCACTACTTGGATTACGATATCCATAATATCTGCAATGAAAGATAAAATATCCTGTTGTGAGTTAAGTGGATAACAATGCATAAACTGAAACAATGATAATTAAGAAAATTGCTGTACCTGTTGAAGTTGCCATACTGAAATGAAACATCTTTAGCTCTAAATTTGGGTTCAGTTTTAGGCTCACAACTATTTCTCTTTTCTTTGAACTTCTGATTTCTTGTATGGCCGTGGTGACCATGCCCATGGTGCCCATGATGTCCATGAACATGTTTTTGTCCTGGCTGCCATATGACTGGGCTCACAATCTTATCCTTCAGATCCATCTAGAAAACCACAATGTAAATTTAGATAAATAGAATTCTTGATAGAGCAGAAAAAGTATTTTAGAAGCAGATACAAACCTTGCGAGGTCGTCTTTCTTTTGCACCCTCTTCTGATCTCCTATTAGGCCTTTTCATGGGACTCTCATGAGTTTTAGCAGGTTCTGGCGCAGCTGCTTCAGTTGAATCACCCCCACCTTGAGCTGCATTTTCTCCCAGATTGACTGGCAGTGTAGCAGTAAGAGTCCGTTCTTTAAGTGGACTAGTATTATCTGGGCCAGTTTCTCCACTATCTGAAGTCATACTTAAATTGCCAGATTTGTCTAAACTTGTTTGACCATCTGCGTTCTGAAAGAGGAAACAAGAAAACATGGGTTATGTTATTTCATCTGGGAATAGATTGGAAATCAAATCAGGAAACAGATTGTTACTTACTTCTTCGCCTTTTGAGGAATTTGAAATAGCACTCAGCCTTTTCTTTTTTCTCTTGCTTTTATTTCGGTGGGCTTTCTTAACCGGAGATCCTCCAGAGTTAGCCAGTTGAGCCATGTACTCTTCCTCATCTTCACATGAGTTCAGATTTAGTGGATCATTAATATTGGGAGGGATGATTACTTCAACTTCCCCTTTTCGATGCTTGGGAGTTGGGATGGGAGATGACTTAGGAGTAACTGCATTCATGGCTCTGAAATTGAACATACTGCAATTAGGGGAGAGTGGGGCACATTGGTCCATGGGGCACATTGGTCCACCATCAAGTTTCACGAGGATAGAGCAATCGCAGTGACCTGACTCACACTATAGAAGAAGCCATTACCACCCTGACTGATTTTCTGGAAGGTATGACAAAGTTCACTGGCAACCATCGGATTGGCGAGGGGTTAAATATTTTTTAACCTCAAAATCAGGTAAAAGTAAAACGTCTTTACTCCAGAACTAGCCCATTTAGAGGTACATCACACGAATTTTCGGTTACAAACCAAGTTTTATGGAAAAGCCCACTCTTTTAGCTACAGATTGCACCCAGTGTCCAATTGGTTAGGGCAATCCAGTTATCTTTTGGAGCCATTAATGAAATTTGCTACCCTTGGGGCAGTTTGAGCCGTCTTGCAAACTGACTTATTTAATTTTTCGAAAACTTGTTTCCACTTGGTATGTTCTTCTTAGAATAACACTTAGACACCCTGATGGTGTTCAGAATAAAGCTAGGGTTGTCTTCGCCAATTTTTTTTACCTTGGCTCAATGTGCCCCATGCATGTCGGCCCAATGTGCCCCGGGCAGGGGCACATTGGTCCACGAGCAGGCCTCTGCGGGTTTCGGTTTTCCTCAGTCTGTACCTACAGAAAAGTGTTGCGACCAATTTTCTGAGGTAAAGTAAGGACCAAACTAAAACTTGGCGATAGAAAATAATTTCTTGCTCGTCACATGAAGCATTGGGAGCAAAAAGAAAAAAAACGGACCAATGTGCCCCACTCTCCCCTACTGCACCATCAACATTCAATACAAAAAAATAAAAATTAAAAATTAATAAGGTAAAACATTACCTATTGATTTCTTCATCCTGTAGGCTGCCAAGATTTAATGGATCACAAATGTTTCCTCCAAGTAAAAATTTTGTAGGGGGAATATGTCCATCTTTACGGCGTTTTTTATGAGGAATGTGAAACTTTCCTCCACGATCACCTCCAGATTGCAATCGCTTCCGACCATGTTTGTGGTTGTGCATATTTTGCTTCCGAGGAAAAATCATATTATTGTGTGCAAGGGCACGACGTCTTCCACCACCACTGCCGCTTCCTCCTCCACATGCTCCGGTTCCACCTCCTCCTCCTCCTCCACCTCCAGGCCCTGTGGCTCCCCCTCCTCCATCAAGAATTGCAGCCACTTGTGACATATCTGCAACAATTTAAAAGAAAAGATATTTAAAAAATTAATAGCAAGAAAGATTATTAAAATATTGATTGAAAAATTAATTTCACAGTATATTAGGTTTGACAACAAAAATTTGCATTACATAATTGTTGAGTAATGAAGCATCATGTCAAGAACTCAACCAAGAAATTATGTGACAATGTGTTATCAATCCTTGACTAACACTTATTTCGTCGGACAATTTACCAAGTAGAGTTAAGTCATGTCACAACTGAACATTGGCAGGAACAACAATTTGCACATCAAATTTCATGAGCAAGGGTGGAATTTAAAAAATAGACAGAATGTTACAATATTAGAACATGTACATTCGACTCTCCTATACTACGAACAGATTTCGTCAACTCTGACGAACACACAACGTTTGTACGAAAAGTACTAAGCTACATTTGAATTTTCTGCACGACGTCACTTCCTCCCGCCGCTCACAGAAAGGCTGAGGAAGCCCGCACCCAACTATGAAAAATTAACCATACTTAGTCTCCACTATAAACACGATTTTTGATCTTCAGACTACAATTTCACTTACTTTGAAAGGATTTTACGTTGGATTGACACCTTATTGAAGTTATTTGAGCGAATTCCGAGGCCAAAACGGGATAGAGTCGACCAAATTTCAACTTTAAATCAGGAGCACTCAGAGGCACGACCATCGGCGAGAAGCACGATTCGTTTGTTTGTCGTTTTGCTGCTCCTCCCCCTCCCCTTGCCACCTCTCCCCCGCCCCCTCCCGCGGTTCACTACTGTAGTCACAAAACACTATTGCAAAAAAGTACCCAACAAATAAAGTGTGGAAGTGTGCGGCCGATTTCAAGGAAAATATTTTCATGATTTTTTAAAGGAGAAAACTTAAGTAAGTATTTGTCAGTGTGCCCACTTTAAAAATATCTCATGCAGTGACTATCATTGTTCAATTACAAGAGCGCGGGAAATTTCAAAATGATTCAAGGATTGAAGGCGTGCATGGGACGATCCAGGCATAAGGAAGTACTTGGTTTGTTACTTTCGAGATGAACTATGACGCCTCGAGTAGATTTTGTGCAATTTGTGCTGCGTGCTTAGTCGAAACCGACTTCCCAGCAGAAAGCGTACGATAGCGCCCGACGTGTCTGCTGCCAGTCTGTCAACACTGTAGAAGAGGTTGCCTACGGACAGGCGCTCTGTAAACCCTACCGCATCGGTCCTCTACATCTGTCCCCCCTCTTGCAAAATATATACACTTTGTTGTTAAAATGTGGGCGTAACGGGTGACGATACCCCCTGCCAAGATGACTGTGGCGACACTGTGGTGTGGAGTATCGACCTTCGACGGGAGGGAGTATTCACGCCGAGCGCGGCAACATAAATGTGGGGCACAGTAGTTGGTTCACTAAATGTATACACCACGGCAGGCCAGTCCCTTTTGTGAGTACAATAGGGATCCATTGTACTCACAATTGGGACTGGCCTGCCGTGGTGTCTACATTTAGTGAACCAACTTTATATACAGAAGAACAAGCGTAAAAAAATGGACTACCATTGCACGCAGACACGTCGCTTCTCGGATAAGCCCCCAGGATAGTAAACAGGACACCAAACTACCAAACTCTCTAAAATTTAATTTGAGTGTGGCAACGGCCATGATGTAACTGAGTAACTCTAGCTCCCTAAACACCCCGTGCTGCAGCTGGTCAGTCGCGGCGAGACGCCGGCGCCAGTCTCACCTGCCCCTGTGGTCAGGAGCCTAGGCAACACCTTGGTCTTTGTGGTGGAGGCGAGTCTACCCTCCGGGCGCTGACTGTGCCCGCTGCCCCGCCGCCCGCCCCTCTTGGTTCAGCCCCGCCCCACGCGTCTTACCACGGCTTCCCCTCGCCCCTCGCACTGAACAAGCGAAAGTGATTCATTCGAAATTTGGGAAAAGGTCAAGACGGATGTTCCACCCAGAAAACACAGTTGTCAAAATGACATGACGTGATGTCAGGGTGACCTGCTGTGATGTCATTTAGTATCAAAACGAAGTCGAAGTAGGCCACCAACATCATTAAATGTTGACACTGACACCACCGGTGTAAATTTGTGGAAACTGTTTTCTCTGAACAACTTTTTAGGGAACCCAAAAGTGGCCTGAATGGACATGCGAGGTTCGGATGAAGAAACGAACAATCAGGCAGCTCTATGATTTCCTTCATGATATTGTCCTTTAGAGTTTGCAAATAAATGAAATAATTTATTCCTGAAACACTTGATCTCATTTCATGATTTTTGCGATGGGGTGGCTTTGTGTCGTCGCCGGTCATGCGGTAACTTGGGGCTCGTGCTGGGCTCAGGAGGGGCGTGGCACGTTGGTTCCACGTGGCAACACGGCGGGTCAGCCTGTCGGCCCCTCGGCCAGCCCTACGCAGAGGGTGTGGCTCGCCCCACCGCGCGGTGCCACGCCCCGACCAACGCCCCGCAGTCCAACCCCTGAGCATCCTGCCACCGCACCCCCGCCAGGCCTGAATCTTGCAGGACACTTTCAGACAGTCCCTTGTGGCTGTCTCTACCCACAGGTAAAGTTTCGACTCTGGATAAGGATTGCCCAGCCTTTAGAAGTACACCCCAGTGAGAAATTCAATATCGTTAAATAAATGGTCGATAGTCATCGATCGAGGCAAGTTCGACTCGACATCGATTCGATTTTGTCCAGAAAGGCGCGGCGAATCGACGTTGATTTAAGAGCCCTTTTCTCACTATGGGGCACTTCTGCCCAACCGGAGCGCCAGCGTCCTTTGGAAGCAACCCCGCCTCTTGTGAATACACCGCAGTTCGGACATTAGTGTTTTTGAGTCATGAACGTGACATAAACATGAATCATGATCATATTTGAGAGCTTATGTCAATGTGACGACTTCAGCGAAAGTTGACACTGTTAACAAATTCTGCACCCAGAAACAGATTCCATCAGTTCATCCGGTACTGTACTTTCATACTTCTGTCAAAATATGTTCGACTGGTATTTGAGGGACAAAGACATGACCGTGCTGGAAACGAACATTCCTTCAGCATAAGGTACCAGGTGGCTGATTCACGCCGCGCACTTCTGTAGTTATGCTGTATCGCATGCAAAGTGCGGGCGGGTTGCCTACTTGCTCGGCTCCTAAGGCGCCGTGGACAGGGGCGATAGGCAAGCCCGTCCGCACTTGTGCGTGCGGTACAGTATACCTACAGAAGTGCGCGGCATGAGTCAGCCACCTGGTAAGTCCAGCCTACAAAATCACGCTGTTAAAAAAATATTACCAGACCATTTTGTAATGATCTACTGTTGCAATTTTTAAAAGTTATTAGCGATTCGAAATTACAGGGTGAATGTGCCAAAGCCCTCCTATTTTTTCTCTTGTTATACACGAGGCGGTTGACTCCAGCAGCGCACTTTCGTAATTAGACTGTACCACAATGCACACGTGCGGGAGGGTTTGCCTACCTTTGTTTGTCATGGCATTGGCTCCTGTGAGTAGGCAACCCACTAGCACGCATGCATGCGGCACAGTAACTACGTATCAAAGTGAGCAGCGTGGGTCAGTAACAGAGTAATACCACGGTCAGTGTAAACCTCATGGCATTGTACTGAATACAGGCGTGCGGACGTGTTGCACTGAGGGAAGAAACAGGGGAACTGTGTGGGGACAGGGGGAAATTGTCGATTGCGGACACCACGTGCCATGCGGCCGGGTGCGGCGCAACGGTTGTGCACTGTCTGAGGCGGTCAGAGAGGGCCTTGGCGGCGGGCGGTAGCAAGCGCTAATGCATGAGTATTTATTTGCAGTTGAAGTTTCCGTCTGAAATTTTTTTCCTGTTTTGTAAATGGAAATGAAGCTCAAGCCGTGTCTGTTGGTGTGCATTGAGCGCGGTTAGTGTTATTTCCGTGACCATCATATGGCCATGCCGGTGGTTCCCCAGGGCGCCAGCACCAGCAGAGCACCGCATTCCTCAATCGACAATTTGCCCTTTTCCCACAAAATCCTCCGTTTGTTCCCTCAATGTCCGCTAGGGTGCTTCCGCACTCACAGCGCTTTCATCGACGGGACGGGACCGCGTTACGAAGGAGATGGAGTTGCGTAGGCGCGGCTTGGTGACTTCCTTGGTGACACTCTGGTGACCCCCCAGACCCCCCAGGATGACCCTGTG